TCTAACAGAAAATGTCTCGCAATGTGCTGCATTGTGGCAATTGGTATGACAGATGGAAACTCCGCCTACGTAACTATCAATACTAAGTTTCCCAGCGAATATGCAATACGGTATAGATACTGCTGCTGTTGGTGCCATGCAGGCCATGCCAGGGTTTCTAAAAGTTTATGGATATGAGGATCCTACAAGTATTTTCGGCTATGGGATTGATGTAAGTGGCAGGTGAACGAATCTGGGCAGGTCTCATCTAACTTTATTTTCCAGAGCACAGTGCAGCAGCTCATGACTTCGCTCATGAGTCTTGGAAGCTTTGTTTCTGCTATTGTTGCTGGTCTTTTTGCAGCATACCTTGGCCGCAAGGCCGGGCTTTGGGTAGCTTGTGCTGTGAATGCTGTCTCAGTTGCCGTTCTGCTCGCGACAACATCAAAGGCTGGGCTGTACGTTGGGCGCCTACTTTTAGGTTTCGCCAACGGTTTCCTGGTTACGTTCTCCAACGTATACACTGCAGAAGCCGCCCCTGCCCATCTTCGAGGGTAAGACAGTCTTGCCAAACTCTATTCCTGGTTGCTAACCTGCACGTAGTGTTATGGTCGCATTGTTCGCGTACTTTGTGAACTTTGGCTCCATTCTCGGATCACTCATCGACAATTATACCAAGGATCGCCTCGACAAACTAAGCTTTCGTATTCCTCTTGCGTGCTTGTATATTGTCCCTGTTCTCCTCGGCGTAGGCCTCTTCTTCGTCCCAGAAAGTCCTCGTTGGCTCTTGCATCAAGGCAACCAAGAAGCTGCACGAAAGTCACTTGAAATACTTCGCTCTACATCCCAGGGCGATGAACTTGAGCTTGAGTGGGCCGAGATGGTACGTGGCGTTCAAGAAGAACAACGGGTAGCCAAAGCCACCCCTTTCATGGACATGTTCCGCGGCCATGATCTCCGTCGTACGCTTCTCTGCTATGGCATGATCGCTTCTCAGACTGCATCTGGTGTATGGTTCTTTATCGGTTACCAGACTTATTTCTTCTCTATCGCTGGCATCACCAAAGCCTTTGAGTACTCTATCATGAACGCATGTATCGGATTCTTTGGTGTGCATTGCGGCATGTACGCCATGAAAGCGCTTGTTGGTCGAAGATTCCTCCTTATCTTTGGAGCAATCACTTGCGGTCTCTGCATGTTGTCATGCGGTATTGCAGCAAGCGTTAATCCTACAGCCAAGTCCACTGGAACCGTTCTCGTCGCTTTCACAGCTCTCTTCATGTTCTTCTACGATGCATGCGTAGGTACCGCAAGTTACCCCGTCGCAACAGAGATTGTGAGCTCAAGGCTCAGGGCTTGGACTGTTGGTACTGCAAATGCGTTGGGCTACTTCCTTGCGTGGCTTGCTGGCTTCTGCAGCCCGTATTTCATCAATCCTCAGGACCTGAACTGGGTATGTCTACTACTTCACATTCCATCCCTTCTTATACAGACATCTTTGTATTCCTTGGCCCTGTTGCATTATCTTCCATTATTTTGTTTGAGTCTAACTAACTTTTACCTCAGGGACCAAAATACACGTACATTTGGGCCGGTTCCAACTTTCTCTGCGTCATATTTTTCTACTTCATGATCCCAGAGATGAAGGGCCGATCCCTCGAGGAGCTGGATGAAATCTTTGAGGCTGGTGTTTCTGCACGTAAATTTCCGCAGTACAAGTGTACCATTATAGAGGACGTGAAACAGGAGGTTTTGACGCACGGACATCATGTCGAGGTCGGGAAGCAGGAGGCCTGAACTCAAGCTAGAACTGGTGGATATTACATACTTTGAGATATAGAGTTGCGGCGTGTGAATTTTGTAGATTCAAGATAGCGTTGGCCTGTTTGGAAATAGAATTATCACTGAGGATATAGAGATCTCAGTGATCAGAATGCTTTCTACCTGGCGATATGACTTACATCACTCTGATCTATACATCTTACAAACAAGAATCGCAATTATATCGTGGTGGATACTGTTGCACAACAGCACTCTTGAAATGTTATGATTAACAATTGACAAGGCGTACATACGCTTGAAAGCTTAACTTACTCCCAATCAATGATAGTCTACTAACTTAAAGAGAACTCCTCAGAATTATTTAGCATTTTTGTTTCCAACAATGAGATTGATTTGTGGACTGATGCATACCTATATCTAGGCGGGATAGTGCTTTGTGTATCAAACCTTCGTCCGACAGAAGATATGGCAACAACGTATGAATACAATGCTCCTGTCGCAAGCCAGCTGCGAGAATTATAACACCGACTACAGTGAAAGCTCTATGGTGTCTTTAGTTTTCACTGTGTCATACGTTGTTACTTCAGCAACCCATTTTTCTAGTCTTTCATTGCTTGCTCCATATTGTGTGCTCGGGCCAAATATCTGATACCTTAATAAAGCGACATTCTTCCACCTTTAAGCACACCGTGACACACTAACGCAAGGGAATCAATGAGCGACAATTTTTACCAATGATGCAAGATCGCATGCACCTGCTTGCTAGGTTGCACTAACTGCAACATATGAGGAAGGAATCAGCCTTAACGATAAGAGCTTCGACACGCAGGGCCAAAGCCAAAGCCAAATCGAGCAACAACGAGTTATTCGAACCTACGCACATGCGCCATGGAGAGCTGGAGCGCAACTAAGATTTGCAGACCGAACAATGTACATTTGCATCTAGTCCTTGCCCGTTGCGCCCAAAGCCACATCCTCGACTTTCCGAAACACCGCTGCGATATCTTCACAGTACACAAATTGAGGTTGAGATCACAAATCCTGATTTATGACAGCCAGGTTATAAAAGTGTTAGTATGAATTCAGTGGATAACAGTAAGATTATGGTCATTATTGACAGCTTTGCGCAACATACAACAAGCGCGAGATTGTGGGAATAAACCCTTCGCAGCACTCAATTTCTTCCAAGATGGCTGCTGGGGCGAGATATCTCAAACGGATACAATTGCACACTATATAGTGGAAAGGGCCATGAATATATATTATACTGACATTAGAATCATTGCCTTCTCGGACCAATCTAGACTGCCATTTGATGAAGACAAAAATCTGTCGTTTACAGAACGATTGTCATACCTTTCATGAATATTTCAAGATTATAAGACGTTTGCAGATATGATGATGCAAGAGGAAAATGTAAACATTATCATAGCCCGCATATTTTCTCTTCACAGCTTTGCGCCGCACGTAGTCAAGAAACTCAATCCCATATAAACCCGGGGAATAGTAGACGTAAATAATCAGCCTTTACGCTCTTCACGGCCGTTGGCTGTAACACCTGTAGTCAATTTTGCTTCTCGTAATCTTGTCTTGAATCCACCCAAAGGATTGAGCATTGATATGGGTTGCCATTCCCTTCCTGAATATAATGAGCCAAATCAATTTCGATTCCAGTATCTATCGGATGCGTAAATCAGTGCATTTATACCAGATTTCCGAATATTTCTCTACGTCTTTTCTCCCACAGAGCTTTAGAAGTCTAGAAATGTGCTAGCACAAGCTTTCTTAGAACATTGAAAAAAGGTAAGAATAAGGCTATACAATGCAGTGTACTTCTTACATTACGTTTTACAAAACTTAATTATAAAGCCTTAGGATATATAATACTAACACTAAGAATTTCTTTATAAAATGATAAATTTTAAGAGACTGCTAGACTCTAGCTAGTCCTTAAAGCCCTGTGGGAGAAAAGACGTAGAGAGATATTCGGAAACCTGGTATAAATGCACTGATTTACGCATCCGATGCATTGGTACAGAATCGCTGGCAATATCGCATGCTCCGCATTCTTCCAAGGACAATCGACTTCTGTGGCAAAATTTATCTGTAACTTCTCATGGCTCTTCTACTTTTGAATATTCAAAGGGTGTGCCGCATTCATCAAAGCCAAGTTGCTTGTTGGAGGCAGCTTCTCCTAGCCAGAAACGTCGTTCTATTCGTACTCCCCACAACCGATTTATTTTGTAAAATTTACAGCTTGAGGCCGATACGGAACAGATACTCCAACTATCTCATATAGTGATGATGGGCAAATAAGCGAGTCCAGCCCCGTAGCCTCATCGTCTCCATGTCCACGATCAAATTCTTCATTTCTCTTCATCTGTGGTCGGAAGTGCCCTAGGCTGTGAAGTTGGAAATAGTCCGAAGGCAAATGAGAAGACGAGATCGGATATGTGAAAAAACGGATGTTGGGTGCCTCTCGGGATGATCTCTCTGGTGATGAAATGGGCATCGACGAGCGCAGATTTAGTTTCATGAGAGTAGGTTAGAATTTTGAGGGTTCCGGAGGTTCATTTATAGGCATGGAGATGAATCCAGATCGCAGCCACATTGATCTGGATGATCCGTTCGCCTAACTAGCGATCACGAACAGGCTATCCGGAGAATCCAGGAAAGCTCAGGGATGCTGTCCGAATCACACTGAAGAAGTATGGATAAGTGCATTTATGCGCGTATTATTATACTTGAACCCAATCGATTGGGCGGTACAACTATCAGGAGGTTGGAGAAGGACCCCAGAGAAGTTATGTTGAGGATTCGTCTTTGGTAGCCCTTGTCCACTAAAGGACTAGCCTGTTCCTGACCTAAAATGAATTCAGCAAACATAACATAAAAGCCTGGTATATGAAGGAAATAATATAGTAATTTCAATGAGGACTTGATACCTCGTTCCTGATTCTTGATGGAGTAATGATAATCTCACCTTGCTGTTGGTGTTCCTGGTCCTACCGATCTTTCGATGCTTATTCTTAGCGCTTCGGACACCCACCGGCCCCAGCCTTCCTTGGACTGGTGTAACCTATCCCTGCATTATGCGGTGTGTCCATCACCCCCACATCGTTTAGAAATCGCTTACATGCTTATCATGAATAAGTTCAATTTCCTGATGTCGGTCTTGATGATTGCACATTAGTTATATATAAACTAAACCCCAAAAATGATATCTAATTCAATCAAAAGCCCGCTTGGCTAAGTGGTAAAGCGTCGCACTTGTAGAGAATCCTCATAGCAATGCGAAGATCACTCGTTCGATTCGGGTAGTGGGCAGTCGATAACTTTTTAGATGTCGAAATGTTTGGGAGTGAAGAGCTTTTTTTTAGCGGCCCAACATGAACACCAAGCGAAACCGAACACGAAACATGCATACGAGGTAAGCGTGATTTTTCATTTGTTAAATAGTCACTGCTTGTTGCGTAGATATAATGTCGGCTGGCCAAATTTGCAATTCACCCCCTGAGTTTTGTGATGGTAGCTCCTCAGCCGTTCATTGCTATGAACAGCAACGTAAAACACTATTTGTGCATTCAAATGAGAAATAATGTAACACTCAGTACGTTTCAAAGTGCTTGGCCTGGCTGTCATTGCGGCGAGGTATTGTGATGTGCGGATGGTTTCTCCCCGACCTGTATTTCCGTATTATCACTTGCGCCACACTAGCGCCATGCTAGTGCATTCTCTACCACAACCTCTTCTCTTCGGTCCCCTTTAAACTGACTGCCTCATTGTGTATCAATGCCAATCGCTGACTCTTCAGATCTACGCTACTGTTTTCCATGTATATTCTCGTGCTGCGGATAGAGGAGCAGAGAGCGATGACACATGATGCAACTACGCTGCTGTCCAAGTTCACTCATGTACTATATTTGTTATCTCAAATCTTCGCTCGACCTTGAACCTCGGACATGTTTCCTATTACAACATATACTCGACCTATAGCTCGAAGATCTTTCGAATGCATACAAACGTTCTGAGCACGAAGACCCAAATTTGACTCTTGGTAACGTGGCCCGCTATGTTGAACTCATGAATAGAGGCAAGGAAGATTCTTACGTCCTTTCTTTGGACCACCGCAGCTGGAACGGATCTTATACTGCTTGCATCCCTGGCGTTAATTACGATAACCTCATAAATGTGAACGACACCTACAACAACTATAATGAACCATCCATGGGTCGTGTTCTCGGCCTCGACGACGACGACAATGACGATGATCCCTCTAGCCTTGACTCCAGGAAGGAACTTAAACCGACCAAGGGTTTCTACTTTATGAATCATAACTACAATGATCTGAGCTCATATCACGGCTTCCTCATGCATACTCATCGAAATGATGATGTCGACGCCACTCCACCTAAACGGTACCGTCGCACCAAGACCGTCCGCGCTCGGTTGTTGAAAACAGACCCAAAAAACGACCTAGAAGACAAGGTAAATTAATTAAATTGAGAAGCCAATCATCATGAACTATAAAAAAATTTATGTCTCCTATTTACGCCTCCTCTTTACACGACAAGCATGGACGACAGCGATTGCTATTTCCTCGCCGACAGTAAACCTTCCCAGTATGTCACTCTTACTCGACACAGTTTCGAAGTCTAGACTGGACAGCAGTACCTCCATCACCCCTAGTTTTTTTTCGAAATCCTTAGTGTTAGTATCACACATTATTTCCTGCTATGCTTTTGAGCTTTGTAGAATTTAGTGTAAGGCATATGCTACATTATATACCCATATATTCATCCTTTTGTCTATACTCTAATGAAGCCTGTGCTGGCAAATTTATGGACTTTAGAGCCTTACAAAAGATAGCTCAGGCTGGATTGTTCCTGTAGAAAAAGTGGCGGTCAAGATAAGTGGGGCGATTGGGGCACAGTGTTCGTGAGGAAAGAGCATTCTCGGTCTTCTCTTCTTTGTGACGTTGACGTTGGCCAGCAATGGTCCGCGAGAATGACGAGGAAATGCAGTTCGTGCTGAGAGACGCACTCCCTTAAAGCAATATAATGGAGCGAGCGGTGTGTGTTGGACTTGGCAGGTGAACTATGCAATAGTATCCATTCCTTCATGTCCATAGCTTGACCAATATAGAAACGAACGATATCGTTCACGACGACAACATGGAGTTAAACGCCCGCCGCAGAGGGGACGTCTTTGAGGCTCTCAATTTGGAACATCTGTAGGCTATTATGACGTTAGCATCGTTAAGCATGAATGAAATATACAGAACCCACGACTCAACGTCAAACAACAATCCAGCCTGAAAAAGTTCCACAATCTCTGCTCGAATGCATGAGAATAGCCTTTGTAGCAGATCGTTGTTTAAAGCGAGTGTGGTATAACGTTCGGCCATGTCTTTGACGTCGTCGTCAGGGTAGGCTAACCGTTTGATGATAAACTTGAGGATTTCTTCGGGATGACGCGTCGACGTCTCTGCCGTTACCCATGACATTTTTGTACAGCAACAAGATCGAAAGAGGAGACGACACGAAAGGAAAGATGCGTAGAGGTGGTGGCACACAGGTGAGCGATGGTATGCCGGCGCAAGAAAACCTGTGAACGATGGTATGCCAGCACGAGAGAAGTAGTGAGCGATGGTATACCAGCACAAGAAGAGCAGTGAAGGGGTAATGGAAGTAAAAAGCTGAACGAGTGAACGAGTGATGGAGTGAAGGAGTGAAGGAGTGAAAGATGAGGGAGTTTCTGTAGAGAAAGTGGCGGTCAAAATAAGTGGGGCGGGTGGGGTATGGCGTTCATGAGGAAGGCGCAAAGTGTTTGTAAGGAAAGAACATTCTCGGTCTTCACTTCGTCGTGTGCAGTAAATGCATTTGGGTTATCTTCGGTGGCCATATCGAGGTTGTTGAGTTCGTTGTCGCTCGCGTTGAGCTCGTCAGTGGTCTCATATCACTACAGATCTCATGCCTACGACTGCCTATGAGAGTAGTGGGATTTTGCCTACGAAGCTTTTTTTCTCATAGGCATTTTCCTATGACTGTCAGGTCTAGACTACTACTGTCGTAGGCAGCTGCCTACGACACCTCTGTCACCACCTAATGGCAAAATATCGGCGACCTTCTAAGAAGGCAGAACCTCCACCTTCCAAGGAGATTTTAATAAAAATGAAGGATTCCCTTCATTTTTACGCGTAGGTAGTATTTTGACTTAATCTAATTCATTACTTTAAGAGGTTTCTCTATAAATTTAAGAGTTCTCTTGCTTTGTAAAGAAGTTCCTTTAAGAAATTTAGGCAAATATTTAGTGGGTCAGGGGCTATTGAACTAAGGACCTAGGGGCTGTTCACCTAAGGATCTAGGGCAGGACCCTGCCTAGGGCCCCCTAATCTATTAGTTATTTTCATAAGCGTAAAAAACGGTCAAATGAGGTACGATATTCGTAGGCAATGTCCACCCTACGACTTTTATAGAATAGAGATCCGTAGTGATCAGTGACGCCGCCTGTCGCATGTGAGGCCTGATAGTCGGTATGGATGGTTTTTGTAGCGCTATCACTTTCAGCTTTAGAGAGTAGTTACTTGTGTGGATAATTGTATAGGCCATCGTTCGCATTGGTGCAGTAGGGCCTGGTGGTCAGGGTGACCTTCCTCGGTCGTCATGGTGTCGTTGGCTTCAGAGGCGAGGGAATATTGCCGTGCTATTATCGGGTTGCGGTTGGAATTCTGGTATGGGTAAGCTGTAGAAGCGGTATTGAGGTCAAAATACTCATCACCAATGGTATGAAGTGCCATAGTGGACGCGTTTTCAACTTTAATGTCGCTGGTTGTTCGCATAGCAATATCAATCACTTTCGCAACTATTAGTGTCAAGCGGCACATCTTTTTACGCAGTCTGAATGGTCAGGGAGGCTAGCACATGACATAATTCCTGAGGCTATCTGTCGGGGTATTTGTTGCGTCGGGGACGCTTGGTGTTGACCGATTCAGGGAACACTGATGGGGACATCGCACGAGTCGGCCGTCCTGTCATTTGGGACATCCTTATATAGTTCGTTCGTTCGTATGTCTGTATCTAGGAGTTCTGTAGTGCTTCGTAGTTTATGTCGGGGTGAATTAAGGAGTGGAGGAGCGTTAAAAGGACTTGGTGAGGCTTTTGTGGAAGTTTCGTTTGCTGTCTCTTGGTTTACGGCATTGGTGGTCGAGATGGTAATTGTCTTGTCGATGGCCGCAGTTTCGGTGACGGATTGAGCATATTCTTTTGGACTTTCGTTCTTTTTCTCGTTACCCTGAGCTCCCTCGTGGATGTAGCTTGCTCGTTCAAGTTTGTGGGCGGCATCTACGGGAGTGTGGGGGTTGTTGATGACGATTTGAACGCCATATACTGGCTGTGGGATTCTGAGGGCTTGCTGGCGGTTCTTAATAGCCGCGATGAGTACGAGAATGTGGTCAGGCCCAACTGATTGGCCGTGGGGCAAGGTGGGCTTGGTGTAGGAACCTGAGTCCTCGGTGCCGCCTATCTTGCTAGCAGTGAGTCATGTAGGGCCACGGCAACGTTGCTTTTGTGGTGGTAGTGTGGGCTAGATTATGGTTAGTTGCAACAGCCTACACATACCATAGACGCCATTCATCGACCAATATCAATATCGTCAATTTCACAGCTGGTCTTTTCTACTGTAGCGGAGATTCAAACGAAGGCGACGAGTCAAGAGACAAGGCCTCGAGCGATCAGGATGGTGATGAGCCCAATGTGGAGAGCACCAATCAGACCAACGCTAACATTACCAACAAAGACTATGGTGACGGCTTGCTTGATTCATCGTTTGAGTCCCACGCTACAGTCACACTGAAAGACCCCCCTTGAAAATACCAACCACCGAGCACACCTGAACAACATGCCAAAATAAGGCTGCCTGCCAAGTTCCAGCTGAATCCACTAGAGCTGCCTAACGCTCCCAAGGGCACTATCGCTCGAACCATCGCTCGGATACTGGGGCAGACCGCTGGTTTACGTTCAAACCGCTGGCCCACGGTCGCCTTCCCATTTCGAACCGACGCAAAAGTAGTCGAACTACTATAATGCGGCTACGGAATCCTATTCGATAGAATCAAGAAAGACACTGTCAACACGACACTGCCGATGTGTCCAGAGTTGTCACAGCAGAAAACGTGAAGTCAGAACTGCGGAAGCAACCGAACCCCAAACACGGGTCTCGGGACCCCACCAGGAAACTAACGAGTGGAATGGTTAGAGAATCTTCGAATGATGATCTTGTGGACCATCAATGCCAGCGACTGAAAGGTGTGTGCTGGAAGATTTACG